TTCATTTGATTGAATTTTTCGTCTGCAACTGACTATTTGCATTTGCTGCTGCTGCACAAATATTTCGTGCATTTGTTCCATTTCCAAGAAATACATGTATTTATCATGCATAAATATTAAGAGCGCTCGTTTAAAATATTCTTAAATATTCTTTATTACTGGCTCTTCGGATTGGGATTTCGTGTTTACATTTCATTCGAGTTCGCAGCGCTCTTAATTTAGTTTTATTTCTGGCCATTTGCATTAATTGCTAGCGACGGCCGGCGCTTTTAATTGATTTTCCAACACAAAGTGCATGCGATTTTAATGCAAAACTTGAGGCATTTTATTTTCGAATCGGACTCATGCGCCCGTTGCTTATTTATTTATTATTATGTATTATTTTTGCGCATTATTACTATTATTATTTTTTGGCACAAGGCTGGCGATTGCGTAAAAAGCCCGTCGCTGGCTGTTGTTGCGGTTTTATGAATGGCTGTTCGCCGGTCAAGTCGTTTGGGTCTGCGGCTCTTTCGCTGTGTAATGCATAAACAAATAGACAAACGTGTCGTAATTGCAGCCGATACAGATATAGATATATCTAGGGTATAGATATAGATACAGATACAGAAAGCCAAATAAAGCACACGTCCGATTCGTGTAAATCTCGCAGTCTTCCTAATCGAACGGCAAACCAATCAGAAATCGATCGCCTTTCTGCCTTTTTGTTCTTCTAAATTTTACATGCCCTCGCTAACGAATTTATCAATCAACGAACAGCGTTTTCTGTATTTTTTTGGGGCTTTGAGGCGAATGCCATCATAAATGCACTGGCAGCACGTAAACCGATTGTCCATCAGAGCGGGATTGAAATTTCCATTTCAATTTCCATTTCCCCTAATGACACAAAGTTCTCATCTCGTATCTCGTCTGTTCGTCCAAAATCGATACACTTCAAGGTTGTGTTTTCCTGCCATTCTGTGAATGCCATCAGAAAAGTTATTGAATCCCAAACTGCAGAAGGCCGAGAGCATTTAGGTGTAATTAAGCCCAGTGTTCATGGGTCGACTTTAAGTTCATAATGCCACGCTTGACTCCCTGCCTTTGATCTCTTTTCATGTCGCATTAAGACTTGCCCAAGCCCATGAATGCTTTTAATTATAAATTAAACATTATGGTGCATCAGTTCGCACCGAGGCTGCTCTCGAAATCTGACTCTGACCTGTTGGGAGGCCAATCGTCAGTTCGGACTGAATAAGCCTGAAGAAGACCTGCCTGCTCGTTGAGTAAATGTCAGGTCACCGGTCCTGGCCAAGTGGTCAAATGGCCAAAAGCCCAGTCGAGGCCGACAGCTAAACCAACACAGCAGATGACGCCAATGCACAGGGACATGGACTGGAGAACTGGAGAAATGGAAAACTGGCAAGGTATTCGAAAAACTGTGCTGCCAACCAGGAAATTCAAAAAGCCAAAGGTATTTTTAAAAGACAGCTTGCACTGCTTGCATTTTATTATTTAATTATTCGCCCATAACTTGTTAATGCACGGTCCGATTTTAAAATTTTCTTCTACAATTCGATAGCTACTAATAAACATAACCAAATGACATTTATCCTTTAGCTTTTTCTAAGGACCTTTAAAAGGCAGCCATAAAATATAATATACTACAAAATTTCGAAATATGCCCTTTAAAATTCCTTTTAAAAATTCCCAGATATTTATGACACCTCCAGCCTTGACTCTTACTACAAAGAACTGGAAATTGGCTAAAATAAAGCCAAGTTTGCAGGCCAACGTGCAGATGGCAGCGATGACGAATGACGAGAACGACGGACGACGGTCGATGGACGGCACTCAGCCGAGTTGAGTCGAGCTGACCTGTGAGCTGAGTTGACATGCATATGCATAAATTTGAAAATGCTTTATTTACTCGAGTCGGCGGACGAATAAAAATGGAACTCGTATAACTGAGTCAATATTTGCCCAAAGTTTTTCCCACCCACGTTTATTGTTGCCCTTGTGTCTTTCTTTGTGTTCCTTGGCTTTTTGCTAACCGAAATAACTGCAAATTGACCGAGGGAAAATAATGACGTGTTCACGCAATCAAGGGACATTTCGAGGGCAGCCCTAGTGGGTTTATAAGGTACAGGTTTTATTTGTGAACAGTATTCATGGTAACTATAACATTTATGCAAATAAATGCCCTTTTTGGATAAAATAAAATCCATTTTATTATTATTTTAATTAAAATCCTAACAGAATTCTTTGGAACCCTGGGAGATTTAAAAAAGCTCACTTATTTTGGATTAACCAAAATCAATAACCAAGTCACACCCATAAATAACTGATTGAAATCGTTTATTTGAGTAATTTCAGGGCATTCGGCACGTCGAAACGTAACATTCCTCAAGAATCTGCTTCGTGTCTCTCTGTGTGTGTGTATGTGTACCTGTGTGTTGATTCGGCTTAATGCAAATGCTCAATCATTTCGCGCCGTCGGGCATTCTGCTCCTAATTTGAT